CCAACTATACTCTATATCGGATTTTTTTGGTACTAAGTAGTGATAATTTATTATTCGAGTTAAGCATTACTAATGTTGTTGAAAATTTATCATTTCACCATTTTCTTGCCACAAAACTTATCATTTCACCATTTTCTTGCCACAAAACTTATCAAATCATATTCTCATTTGGTTTCTTTCAATTATGCATAAAAGGTGTTTGATCAATGTCCTCATTAGAGAAACCACACTCTATAATGCTATGATGGGAACATGTTGCCTTTTTATCCTTCCACTCAGCTCCACATTTATGTGAAACCTACACCATGTTTGATATGCTGTTGGAATTCCTCATGAATGCTGTTGGAACACATTTCATTAGCTTGCTGTCATAAGCTTATGGTGATGCATTGAACCTACCAATCTCTGTTGCCATCAGGTTTCCTTTCCACTTTTTCATAGGTTAGTTTCTTCATTTGTTAGCAATTTGAACTAGTGTGAGCTGCTGTCATAACCACTGTTGAACTGCCTTTCTGATTTTCAAAACCAAATGTTGTTGACACCACTTCGCCGAGTTTGAATCGCAGCTTGTGTACATTTTGATTGCCTTACAAAATATTGGTGTTTGTATGCCTTTGCAGTTGATGTCATCATATCTGAGCACCTTGGCAAAGCCTTCTAAAGAGGAGAACCTTGGCAAAGCATTCTAATATTGTTAGATTCAAAGAGGTTAGTTACTTTACTCAAGATCCTTTATATTTTGTTAACTTGTGATTATGTTTTGCTCTAGCTTCTTGGTTTGATTCAATTTGTTATGGACTGTAGAAACTTGTGATTAAGTCTTTCTTTGAATGAACTTTGATGAAATGACTTTGCAGGTTCTACTAACACCAACACATCTAGCTATAATAATGGAGTATGCTGCTGGTAGATTTAGTGAAGATGAGGTAATATAGAAACTGAAGTTACCAACCATGGTTTTAAATTGCGGTCGCCGCGTATTGCGACCTGCAGCTGTTACGATATACTCCTTATCATTACAATGACTAGATATTTTTAGTTAAAGGATGTTTTTTATGCAACAAATCTGCCATAGAGATTTAAAGCTTGAAAATACACTCTTAGATGGAAGCACCGCGCCACGAGTTAAGATTTGCGACTTTGGTTACTCAAAGGTAACATGTTTACAAAACATTACAAGCATTAGACTTAGTTGCGGATGTGCAAAATCACAATGATTGTTTATGTATCACCTTTGGAAATAAATTCCTAATAAATATGCAACCTCAACAGTTTCCAAACCAAATTCCTAATAAATACCCTTCCTTATGGCCATCCACACAAAAGGTAATGTATTCTCTATTCTCTATTTCCCTTTCAAATTGAATTTCAATGATGCACGTATGGTGTTTGTTGTAATGATTGTGCTAACCAGCATGTTTTTTTTTAGGTGAAGATAGGGCCTCTTACTGTTTCTCCAATGGGTTTTGGAACATGGGCATGGGGAAATCAGATTCTTTGGGGGTATAAGGAATCTATGGATTATGACCTTCAACAAGTCTTCAACATGGCTATGGAGAATGGTGTTAATCTTTTTGACACTGCCGATTCTTATGGGACTGGAAGGTTTAATGGTTAGAACTTTTAACATTGTCAGCATTCTGTTAGTTACAGTTAGGAGTTAGAATGCTAGTGATTTAGAAGATTAATGAAATGTTAGTTTATGGGATTTACAAACAGAAAAATCAATTAGTTGTTCTTCTACTATTATGTTAGTAAGTGAAGAAGTCGAAACTATGTTGAAATTTGATTGTTAGCATTTGGGACTTGTTATCACTGGATTGTTAAAGCGAACATGTTGTTAATGGATTGTTATAGATTGAACTAAAATTGAGCTACTAAATATGTGTGTTAAAGGCACTGTTAGTGATAAAATGAATTGTTGTTATGCTATGGGCCTATGGCATCCAAGTTATGTTGGAATGGAAGAGGCTAAGTACAATAGGTTAGTTGTTAGAGAGGTGTTGATTAATAATGCGTTGATGTTAGTTGCTAAAAACGCAGGCTGTTAGCATTTGAACTTTAATGTTTTAGAACGAAAAATATTAGTCGACATTGGATTAATGGTGGGGTTCGAACGAATGAATTCCTACCGCGATGTTGAGATCTTGCTGTAAGATTTGTTAGAAATTGTAAGTGAATCCATTGCCATATTGGAATTAGTTATGATTTGAGTTAGTGAATTAAAGTAATAGAAGCTAGTTATAATTGGGATAGTGTGAATTTGCATTAGAGTTAGTAACTTGTGATAGCTTTGAATTAGTTTAGGTTGATGTTAGTATATTTAGTTAATTGAATGGTTAAATTAGGATGAACCTGACAGCTAAGTATGGTTTGTTGAGTTGTGATAAAAGTATAATTGATGAATCAGTTAAAAGTTGATTGCAATATAAGACTGTATTGCCATGAAGTTTTCTATTATGGTGTGTGCATTTTGGCATTGCAAACATATAGTTGCTAGATGGTTTTGGACTGTTAGAAGTTGAATTGGATATAATTTGATGTTTAGAAAAATAGAAACTGTTATAGAAATTAGTTAGTAAATTTGGTTATTTGATGTTAAGATTGGTTCATGTTAATTAATTGTTATGTAAGGAAATTTTTAGATTGAAATGGATGATATGTTAAAGTGTTATGAAAGTTAGTTTTGAATTTGAAGTCATGAACTAAGTTGCTATTGTATTGTTAATACAGTGAGATTATCATGTGAATGAATTGCTATGATGACTGAATTGCTTGAACAAGTATGGCCTTTTGGGACTTTATTTGCAGGCTGTTGGTAACTTATTAGAATTGTTCATGGAAGTTAGTTACGATGTTATTGCTAATGGTTGTGTTGAAATTTGATGCATAAGTTGTTATATTGAAACCTACTTAAACCACTTATGGAATGTGTTTAGCTTATTGATGCTTTGGTATATGTTGGATGCAGGTAGCTATTATGCCCTTATGAAGGTTTCGCATGACACTTTGGTTCTGGAGATGTAGGGCATATAGAGATGGAAATTTGGACAACCTCACAATGTGCAAGTTTTGGAGGTAGTCTTCATATTCACAACCTCACAATGTGTCAATACTGTGTGTCATTTCTCTCCTCTTGCAAGTGATGAAACGGTTTTGGAAGAAGGGGATATTTTGAAAATGTAAGACTCCTTTGATCCATTTTTCAATTATTTTGTTGACTTTTACAATTTGACTTTAGGGTTTGAGTTTTGTTCACCACCATCTCAAAACTCAAACCGACGCCGTTTTCAATCACACTTCTAGGGTTTCTAGATTTTACCCTTACCACATCAAATTCTCATCTAATTCGGATTCGAAGTTTCTCATGGCTACACTGAAGACCTGTACTGGTGTTTGCTTCACAGGATCCACATTTCCACTTTCCAATGTTACTACTAGTAACAAAAACACTAGGTCTAATTTTTTTTTGTGAGGAATTTGGTTGTTGATTTGCCTGATTTTGAAATTGAATGATTGCAGTGTGTATTTATGCATGTTTGCTGGGTTTATTATTATTATTTTTTTATCATTTTTATTCTGTTTTGATTTATGCATGTTTTTTTTCTTTCATTTATGCATGTTTGTTGGGTTTATTTTTATTTATTTTTATCATTTTTGTTCTGTTTTGATTTGTTTACTTGCACGTGTGGGTTGTGGGTGAATTTGTGTTTGGTGAGGTTGTTTATTGGTAGCTGATATTAAAGTTTAAAAAATGGTCTTTAGCCGATCAGGCTTTTGCGATTTTGGTCGGTACATGTGGTCGTTGATGTTTGAAATAACCATAATTTGTAGCTTTGTTACTTTGTTTTACTGATTAGTGTGTTTGTTTCACCGGTTCTTGTGTTAAGGTTGAGACATATGATCGTTGATCATTCATTTATGTTGTATGGCCGAGATTTATATTGAGAGAGCGTATTTCTTTCTTTGCGTTTATGAAGCTTGTGATTGATTCTGATTGCGAGGCCGAGAAATTTCAGTCAAGGACCATCAATGATCTATCAATATCTTTGTAGGTTTAAACCGTTTAATGTTTACATTTGTCTGTATTGTTCAGGAGCTCTTGCTAGAAGCCTACACAAGCAGCTGTGAAAACCACTTTCCACCTCCCAATGCGTAGTTATGAGATGAAGAATAGGTAATGAATTTACTGTTCTAAATTATATATTTTCCATTTGTTTTTCAGCGTTTCATTTTTCTGGTTGATGTTTTATATGGTATGTGTGCTTATGTGATGCATGTTTGTGTTTTTGCTTCTTTTGTTTGTGATCCTAGATTAAACAATCTGTACTAATGAAGCTATATATTGTAATTACAGAACTTGTACTGAGGACATAAAGTGTCTGAGATTGATAACTGCCATTAAAACTCCATACCTACCTGATGGTCGATTTGATCTTGAAGCATATGATGCCTTGGTAAATACGCAGATTGAGAATGGAGTTGAAGGTGTTATTGTTGGGGGCACAACTGGCGAAGGGCAGCTAATGAGCTGGGAAGAACACATAATGCTTATTGCACACACTGTCAACTGTTTTTGTGTGAATATTAAGGTTATTGGAAATACTGGAAGTAACTCAACCAGGGAAGCAATTCATGCCACGGAACAAGGTTTTGCTGTTGGAATGCATGCTGCCCTTCATATAAATCCTTACTACGGAAAAACCTCCTTGGATGGTATAGTTGCACACTTTCAAAGTGTGCTTTCCATGGGACCCACAATCATATATAATGTGCCTTCGCGGACTGGTCAAGACATTCCTCCACACGTGATTAAAAACTTAGCTCAAAGTACTTGCTTAGCTGGTGTCAAGGAATGTGTGGGAAATGACCGGATCAAAGAGTATACTGATAATAAAATTGTTGTGTGGAGGGGGAATGATGATGAATGCCATGATGCTAGATAGGGTTACGGAGCTACTGGAGTGATATCTGTTGCAAGCAACCTGATTCCTGGCTTAATGCACGAACTCATGTTTGGGGGGAAAAATCCTGCATTGAGTTCTAAGCTCTTGCCTTTGATTGGCTGGCTTTTCCAAATGCCAAACCCCATTGGTTTGAACACGGCTCTTGCTCAACTTGGAGTTGTCAGGCCAGTTTTCAGACTGCCATTTGTACCTCTCCCTTTGGAGAAAAGGAAAGAGTTTGCCAATTTGGTGAAGGATATTGGTCGACAACATTTTGTTGGAACTCAAGACGTTCAGGTTCTTGATGACAACGACTTTTTCTTGGTTAGTCGCTATTAATTTAAGTGGTTATTTATATGTCTAGGTCACCTTGTAGACGTATTGTATCCTTTATGTCGCTACTGCGAAAATCGGCGCCGGCAATACAAAAGAGTCGCCACCGTGCGTTATTTATCCCAAAGGAGGGAAAGGAAACGCTCAGAGTAAACCTAACGCAAAGACGGGAAAAGGTATGGTCATCGCAACCACAACCTGGATTCGGGAGTCGGTTACGCAAGGGGAAGGTATTAGCACCCCTCACGTCCATCGTACTCGATGGGATCCACGCTTGCTTGTTTGTACGGATTACACTTCTATCTAAACTAAAGGATGAGGTCTGAAAATAAAAGAAAACATGACTCGGCAAAGCATCGCACTTTCTGCCTACGTATTCCTGTCTGGAACGAGAAATCAGAGTCAACGTAGTTCGCCTTAATACGGGGGAAGGTGGGTGAAGGTTGCTCGCTAGGATATCGCATCCTATGCCTACGTACTTCCACACTGCATGGAAGATCAGAGCAAACGTAGTTCGGGCTGCGCACGACACAAGCTGTTCAAATGTCTTTTATGAAAAATATCACCTTAAACAAGGGTTTTCTTATTGCAAAAAGGTTGATGTTTGTTAAAATCTTTTGACGGAAGAAATGAATTGATTTTGCTATAACCTTTATTAATGTTTTTCTGTTATTTTGAAGAAAGAAGAGATGACACTCTACAAATCCTAGGGTTGAAAAGGGATAAAAAATCTACCCTAATATTATCATACATGGGTTAGCTCCTAATGTCTATCACATCCTCCCTTGAACAAGGAAGAATGGAAGTCCTACGGGAAAGGAAAACGAAAGGAAGAAACGGAAATACAAGTAATAACCGCATACAAGTGAATATGAATATAGCAATGGTAAATGCAATGCAAAGGAGGGAGGACGGTCCGTCTCAACCTCAAGCCCATTCATGGATGGAATAAGAAAATATCAAGTGATCATATGCAAAGAATCGAGTGAAAACTCCGAACGAAACGCGTAATCCACTATTTGGAATCGCAATGTGCTATCATGCAAACAAGACGATAATTGGGCAAGCTACACATACAAATAACAGCCACCTAAGGGGTCTTCCAATACCTCTAACCTATCTACAATAAGAAATATAAGCCACGACGTTCATCACGCAAACACAAATCGGCCGTTGGAGCCTTAACAAAAATAAAGTCCGTTCGGAAGTCCAAATTACAAGTTCGAATACAAAAACATAAGAAAAATAACAAAAGGTGCTAAAAAAATAAAATAAAAATCTCCAATGCCCTACATCAAGCCACAAGCCAGGGGTGAGAGATACCACAAAAATATCCAAAGATAAATGGTCAAATAAGATGAAAACATTGCAAGATATCTCATGTATACCAAAGGAAAGATTAAAGTGGAGCATGTTAAAGAAAGCATCCAAAACCAATTAAAATGGTACAATAAAATTCCCACAAAAATATATCACAATACCTCAACGTGTGTATGAGATCCCTGCAAAAGGATTGACATTTAAATTGTGTTTTGATAGGTCAAAGAAATTCAACAAAATGATAGCACCAGCATTGGCCTTTTTATGACGACCCAAATGTAAAAACTCCAAAGAAAATGTAAAAAAATGGTAAAATTATAATTCCAGTTTTATTAAATCCTAGACTTCTTAAAGATTCAGCACAAAAATATAAGGATCAAAAAGACTAATTTTCCTATTTTTTATGATTATTTGAAGTCAGCATATAAAACAGAAAAAATAAAAGAAACATGGCAATAGGAAAATAAAAGAAAATAACATGAATAAATAAAAGTGGCATGAGGCTTATGTGGCCGATTACGTGGCGCAGTGAGAGGCGTTGGATGAATGAAAGAAACCTTGACTTGGAAATGCATCCGACGGTGTTAACACCTTCTCCAAATCAAAATTTTCAACTTTGTGAATAGTAACCCGCAGCTCCATGAACATGAGTTTTTTGCTACTTTGAAGCACCATAACTCCATCAATAATTATCCGTTTCGCACAAAATTTTGGTCAAACTTGAAGGAAAAAAATCAAGGAATCCAAATATGGTCTTAGATTTTCTTGAAACTCTCTCTAACTCCCAAAACGTGGCACCTCAAGAAAAACTCAAGAACCAAAAATTGTCATAAAACCCATCTTTTTTGTACTAGAATCCATGTAGGAGATGAGAGCAATGTAATGCAACAACAATAATGCAAGAAAGACTCATAAATCATGAGTTATGTCGAATTCTTTATACCTCCGAAAAATGGCTTATGGAGCTTCACTCGATCACCAATTCTTTTAGAAAATGATGCGGACACGTCCTATAATTGATGAGGAAGGTGTTTGGATGGAAAGAAAGGAGTGAATTGATGGAAAACAAAAAATTAATTTTTCACTTGGAGCTCACTTTAATGGAGTTGTGTAGCTTGGTTCATGCATCAATTATGGCCAAAAAAGTGTTGAATCAATTGTAAGAATGATAAGGAATGTATTTGCAATGGTGGAATGAACCAAAAGTGGGAGAAAAATGGAATTGAAAATTTGAGTTTTCAAGTGTAGAAAAATGTGGGGAAAATGGAAAAATGGTGAAGAGAAAAATGAAGATTCAATATGATTTGCAAATGGAGAAAATGGATTCAACATCAACTATCACCAACCTTTACTCTTAATTATCTCAATCCAATATATAGGAGAGCATGGAAAGATCTAGAGTCTTCTAGATCAATCTAGGATGATTCTAGAAACTTCATGAATTTCTCATGATATGGTATTTTGATGTCTCATGATATCTCACTTCAATCCACTAACAGCCCCTTAACCACCTTTTAAAATCTCTTTTCATGACAAATTGGAGTGATATGAGTGAAAAACAAGGGATTCAACATGATTCAATATGAAAAATGGAAAAATGGTGAAGAGAAAAATGAAGATTCAATATGATTTGCAAATGGAGAAAATGGATTCAACATCAACTATCACCAACCTTTACTCTTAATTATCTCAATCCAATATATAGGAGAGCATGGAAAGATCTAGAGTCTTCTAGATCAATCTAGGATGATTCTAGAAACTTCATGAATTTCTCATGATATGGTATTTTGATGTCTCATGATATCTCACTTCAATCCACTAACATCCCCTTAACCACCTTTTAAAATCTCTTTTCATGACAAATTGGAGTGATATGAGTGAAAAACAAGGGATTCCTTTGCCTTATGTTGAGTTTCTCACATGTACCTTATTATGCAAGTAATGGAATTACAAAGCAAGTCCATTTTTTAACCCTCAAATCAAAATTGTGGCTGAACCAAAGTCTTTAAAATGTTCCTTAGACTCAATTTGATATATTACATGACCCATTTTGGATTTATAGATTGCCCAAACCAATTTTCCATTTGAACTTTTTCAACTTATGTCCATTTTTTAAGTCATTTTCACCAACTTTTATCAATCTGAGTTCTATGCATTTCCAAACTTCCATGACCTATTTTCTAGACTCAAAATGCCATTTTGAGCAACTTTGATGTTGTGAAGTTTTTCATTTGAAGCTTCCTTGTATGAGTTTTAGGCATAGGCTTGAATGACATATAATTCCACTTTCCCAAAATACCCCTGACTTGCACAAACTATAACTTGAGCTTCACAAATCAGATGAAGGCATACCATACCTTTTTGGAAAGGGGAGATCATGAGGAACAACTCTTATGTTTGCCAAGAATTCATTTGAAAACTTCTTGAAGGTCAAAAGTTGCTTGGAAGACAGACAACTTTCACATACAAATTTTAGTGTCCTCAGATGACCTGTAACTTGCAAGAGCCATAACTTGAGTTCTATAAATCACCTTGATGACTTCCACCACTCAAATTAAAGCTATGAAGACACTCTACAAGTCTCATGTGGACCAAAAGTTCATATGAAGCTTTCATCTTGAGTTACACTGCTTTGAAGTTGGACCCAAATCAGGGGATTTTACACTGAAACCCTAATTTGGTAACTCCTCTTCTCCTTGACTCCTGTTGATTTTTCTTTGGCACAACACCACATCCACATCCATATAGCAAATAATGAATCCCACAATCTTCAAATGAGCCTTGATACCTTTCAAATCAAGTTTTTTGACCTAGGACTGACCTAGTATTGACCCAGATGAAACCCTAGTTGACTGACTTCAACTGAGGCTCTTGCAATCATTCCAATGACTTGGTTACTCCTTAAAAATGATCATCTAGGCTCTTCATAACATCCATACACACCTCATGCTCTTGGCTCATAGCTCCTACTTCCTCTGATGATCCCCAAACAACCTCAAGATAGGAGAGAACCCCATGATTGATTTGTCAACTCTTCAAGACTCAAATTCTTCCCTGATGACATGAACAGTCTTGAATGTGAATGAAACCCCTCTGAATATGCCTCTTAAGACAAGAATGGCACTTGATCCCCTGATTAAGATAACTTGCTTATGCTATGTTATGCAGATGAATACACTATGTACATGATGCCAATGCAAATGACTATGCAATTGAAACATAAACCTAGGTTAAAAAAGGTTGGGCAAATTTTGGGGTGCAACACTTTATGGGGTTTTATGTGAAACATAAAAGACAAGATTATGTATGTTGAAGTGCTTGATTAAGTCAATTATTACTATCTTGTTTATGTTATGAACCTTGTTTCAAAAATTTATGTGAAACAAAAATGAAACGGTTTGAGTTTTGTTGACTTTTACAATTTGACTTTAGCATCGGTTAGACCAAAGCTAAATATTTCGTTGACAACTTAGCCTCGAAAAAGTCGAGGCAAAATATGCTTTTAGCCTCGACCAGGATCAAGGCTAAAATGCACGTGGGCTTATGGAGTTTGACTTTAGCCTCGGTCAAGCCCAGACTATTTTTGTTTTTTTGACACGGCTTCATCGAGGCTAAAGTAGACACGGCTAAACCGAGGCTAAATTAGACACGGCCTAACCGAGGCTACATTTAGCCACGGCTCATCT